GATCCACTCCATGATCTTGCTGGACACAGAGGTGTGACTGACTTTCTTTTTCCCCTTTTTAAAAAGAGGGGTTATATTTCCCCTTTCCCCGTCACTGGGAACTTTGCCAGTCTGCTGTGACTTTTCTAATATGATGGACTTGTCAAATATCATGTTCTGGAATTGGAATATTTTGAGCAACGTTGAGATGCTGGAAGCCTTGATTCTGGTATTGGGAATTTCTGTTGTTCTGCAATGTGAAGGGTGCACCCAAAATATGTGTAAGGATGAGTTTGGACATTGTGGAAACAGTCAGGAAAATGAGGGTCCAAAGGGACACAAGAAAACAGTAGTGGGATGGGAAGACAGTTGGGAAGAGAAAGGACAGCGCCTGCTGAAAGCCCATACACCAGTAGCCTGGAACATGGACTGTCTCCCAGTAAAGAAACTAAGGGAATTAGTCTAGGAGTTGTAAAAATGATACAACAAATGATACATAGACACACAGGATAGAAAGAGACTATGCAGAGAATGAGTTAAAGAAAGATTTAACAAGAAGACAAATCAGACTGTGGTAATCAGGCACAGGGCTCAGCCAGACCAGCGCACTGACTCTGTTTCACATGCAGCCCACCCCTTTTATGCCCATTTCTGTCTATTTCCCTCTATGTTCATCCTTGATCCCCTTCCCCTGTGCATTTCTTCTGCAGTGTGCACAGTCCCACTAGCCCCCTCCAGTATATGGAACAGTTTGCGCTTTTATCAGTTTGCCAAGTCCAGGTTGGCCCTCTGAAGTGATGCCTGCAGTTTCTTGACAGCCTATCAATTAGTGTGACTGATTATTTTTGTTTCTTGTTGTCTCCCTCCAGGGAGGAGGCATTCTGTGATTCTGCATCATTGTTTGTGTGTCAAGGTTGTGTCTCTGAATGTTTTGTTTACTACTTTCTCCTTCTCCTTATTATCCCATTTTGACAAGGTCCTTGATCAGATTAACGTTGAGGGAGAGCGTGGTCTCTCTTTCCACATATGATTACTGTTTCCACAGCATCCTTGTATCTAGTTTTGGGTATTACAGAATGAATGGGTGGACCGCCAGATGGGGGAAAAACTGTATGGATAGTCTTTGGATCCAAAGGGAAATGGTGAAAGGTTTGTCGTCTATCTGGAGACTGGTTGTGATGGGATTTGCTCAGACGTCTATCCTTGGATCTGTCCTGTTTAATATCTTTATCAAAGAACTGGAGGAGGAAACAGAAGACAGTCTGATACAATTTACAGAGAATGTCAGTGTGAAGTGATGGCACTGTCCATCACTGGCGCTGATCGACAGTCAATATACTCAAGTGCAAGGGATACAATTCAGAAGGACCTAGACACAGAGGGACCTCATAAAACTGAGAAACCTCATGAAACTGAGAAAGGATAAATGCAAACTCTTGCATCACGGATCAGCCAATCACCTGAATCAGTACAGGAGAGGCAACTGCCTGCTTGGGTAAATGATGGAGGCTATCAGCATCCTGAGCCCTATCAGTAAGACTGTAGCCAGCAGATCAAGGGAAATGTTTATTCTCTTTTAACTCAGCACATGTTAGGCCATATCTGGAATACTGCTTCCAGTTTATGGGTTCCCACTACAATAAAAATTTTGGTAGTCTGGAATGGAAAGACAGGAAGATGGTTGGAGGCTGGAGCACAGGACATTTGAGGAGATGCTAAGGGAACTGGGCTTGCTCAGTTCTAAGAAGAGAAAGCTTAAGTCATGTTTGATTGGAAAAAACAAGAAATATTTTCACCATGAGGCTATTCAAAGACTGGAACAGGGGCCCAGAGAAGCTGTGGGATAGCACCCTTAGAGATATTTCAAATTCTACTAGACAAGACCCTAACTTTGAGAAGGAGATTTAACTAGAAACCTCCAGAAGTTTCTCCCAAGCTGAAAGATCCTGAGCACAGCTAAAGGAGGCAGCTTGCAGATGCAGCAGTTTGCGCAGCAGTTTCTGGGCTCTGCTTCTTTGATATCTCCTTGAGGTATTCTCAAACATCTGCAAGCTTTCACTGGGATTGTCAGGGGACTCCAAAGAACACCCTGAGGTGCCTGCTTCTGCCAGGATAAGGATAAAGAATAAGGTAAAGATAAGGATAAGAATAGCCACAGGAGTCTTTTACTTCTCTGTGGTGGGTTGACCCTGGCTGGATGCCAGGTACCACCAAGCCTCTCTATCATTCCTCTCTTCAGCAGG